TGTCATTCATCCATCACAATCGCCTTAATATCTTACACACTTTTACCATCAAATTACATGGACTTTTCTGCTTGGTGGGTAAAAAAACCTTCTTTCTGTTTACCTGACAAACCATTTCTCAACTTTAATCTCATATATAAACCATTTCTCTCTCTCTCTCTCTCTCTCTCTCTCTCTCTCTCTCTTCAATCATTGATAAACAGTCTCTTCCAGTGATACTCGCAGCCATCCTCTTGTATCCCAGTTTTTACTCCTTCAACCTCAAAGAGTATTTGGTGTAAAAATATCTCCAAACAGTCAAAAAATCCATAAAAATGATGAAACAATTGATTCAGTTTCATTTGGAAAGGAAAAAGAGTCAATTCCATCAATGGGAATTAGATATATCAAGATAATCATGATAATATTCAGCTGGGAATCATAGTTACCATGTTATATATTGATCAATATTTTTACCTGGTCACTTCTTTTTCCATAAATATAAAATATTGGTTACTATGGTTACGATTACTTTTCATGGTAATAATAACTTTTAGAATCAGTAAGATGGAATAATTTTCAATTCTTTATTTATCTACTTTACTTGACTCACTTATTTACATGATAGTTCATGGGAACAGAAAGTTAACATTTTGAGAACTTTTTTTTTCTATTTCATTAGATTAAATCGTCACTTCTTGAAAAGAAGTTGAACTTATTAGAATAAAATAAAAATTGTAAAAATTATCTAAAACATCACGTAGAAGTTGATTATCTTTTTCTATTTCTTATGAAAAGAGGAGCGATAAATTCGAGACAAAAGAAAATTTTAAGAAAAAAAGTTCTGAGTGAGTGAACGTGATACAAATTCGATGGTCAATATAATAAAATTATCTTTCAAAGGCTGCGAAATAGATAAAATTTAGAGAAAATAAAGAAAAATTCTCAAGCAATAATATCCTAATGATTATTACAGTTCTTTCATGGTTATCATAACAATTTCCTTGATTATTGTAACAATCAACTAACAGATTGAAAGTTTAAAGCTAATTGAACTTATCATCGGATATTAGCACTGTTTACATGATGAAATATCGTCAATAATTCCAAGCTGATAGTTCACTTATCCATGAAAACCTTGGAATACATAAACCTGAAAGAGCCAGTAAAGTTCAGTTGAAATGGGAACGATAAAATCACCGAAATGGGAAAAATTATTGACATGAAATCTGAGGGAACAAAAGAAAACAAAATCATGATTCAAACGAAATAAGCTCTCAATCAGTGATCCTGATTAATTTCTGTCTAATTATTTTAAAGTCAATATAATAAACACCATGATGATATTAATTAACATGGTGATGAGGATTAAAAATATTCACCACGAAAATAATTAATTATCCTGAATAAAGATTCATAGATAAGATTAATGAGTAAAAGATGAAGATAATGAAACTTTTAGGATAAAAACCAAGAGTAATAATCATAACATATATTGAACACTGTTGATATAATTTTCTCATGATTATCGAGTTAAATATGAGAGTTAATCAAGTGTCGATAATATTAATCACCTTAATCATAATAGATACAAATTATCATGATAACAAAGGCAAATTAATCAAATTTACTTAGAAATATGTGATTTATCAAAATTAACAAATTATTCCAGTAGATATTCAATGAGTATGATAATTATGTTACAATTTCGATATTATAATAAATCAGATAATCCAAAGAGATTGTTTCAGTGTTCAGAATTCTGTATATCATGACCAACGGTATTTTAGAGTCACATGTATGTTCAATTATTAAGCTTTTTGATCACATTGGTTAAAGAAAGTTCTGAGGAAAGTTTTTAAAGGAGAAACTTTTTCTTTATCAATATGAATGAGGATTCTGAAATTACTTTGAATCGATCTCCCCTGTTTCATGTCTAATCGTAATTATCATGATTCAATCCTGTTACTATCATTCAGAATAATCTAAACTTTATGGATCAGTTTTCAGTTTTACTCTGGTAAAGTTTTTCATCTTTGTAATATAAATACTGAGCTCAAAATGAAAACCAGAGTGGAAACTTTATGTTTACCATGAAAACATGAAGTGCATGGAAAAGATGAAATGTTCAAATGATGAAATTGAACTTTCAGATTTTGTAATAGAGCAGATTGTTCAACTCCTGATATTCTTGTCATCATCATCTTTCAGGGCATTAAAAGGTCAAAAATAGTTGAAGTAAAAGGTGAATGAGTCCCATGAGAAGTAACTTGTTACTCAGGTAAAAGGAGGTAATGATATTAAGAAATACTCTCTCACTCTCTCACTCCTTTTGCCTCATCTTTATCCCAGTCTCTATTTATCTCCTAATTGATGTTTCTTTAAGTTCAAATTGTTTTCTTAATTAGGATAACATGAAAACTTTTTCATCAACTAATGTGTTCAACTGATGGAAAAACTTTTTACTAGATTTTCCAAGAAACCTGAGCAACAGTCTCAATTTATAGTTACCATTTGACATCCATGGGTTTTGATGGTCAACCTGATTAGATTTACAGGGAAATTCATCATCAGAATCTTCTTGTTCTTCATTTTGATACTTTCACTTCTTTTCTTTTCTCAGTAGACTGAAACATGAAACAAAAAAACAAACTTTTCTCTTCGTTCAATGTAAACCCAAAGGGTTTTACTGATTATCTTGTGATAACTTTTTCTTATAAATACTCAATTAATACATGGAAACTCGTCGAGTTAATAAATTGAAAGCAGAGATAACATGTTGAGAAATGTTTCAGATTTTCCACCATTTAAACTCACCATCTCACCTTGGAATCAGCTCTCATACGTTGACTTTTATTGTTTGATGTCTAATGTTGTCTCCATTGTCTCTATTTGATTTACTTAAATCTCTTCAAGTTTATCTTGTCAAATCAATGAACAATTTAAGATTAACAATCAATTGTCCATCAAAATGATAGTCCTTCACTTGAGATGATCACGATGAAGATATTAATCTGTCCAGAGATAGCCAGAAGACATGAAACTCACCAACCGGTAAGGTTTTCTCATTTTCTTTATTCAACAGGGAAGATTGAGAAAATTCAACAAATCTGATTAGATTTAATCACTTTGACATTAGATTTCTAACGAGATGGTCCATTTCATCATTCGATTGTTATTACATTTAATACATTCATAAATTCACTATACACTTGATTGTTGTTATTAAATTCACTATAAAAACCTTTAATTGTTTAATTTAGGTGATGGTTGATTTTAAGACTCTTTATGTCAAGAGCAATGGAAATGAGAAAGAGTGTCCTTTACACTTGGTAAATGAGGTTCTCGAGGTCAAGAGTCATGTGAAGACTTTGTATCTTTATGGTGATTGTTACCCTAGGAAACAACATTAGCCGGTAATTTTAATTGAAACAAATAGAAAATGAAAACAATAGCAATCAGAATTGAGAACATGATTATCTGATTGAATTGGTTATTAATTCAGCCAAGATTTTTTCCACCTCGCTGAGAATCAGAAGGGTAGAGGTCAGTTGGCTGGTTATCTTGTCAATTCATAAGCGATTGTTGCGATAAATGGTTAGCCTTTAGGTTGGAGTTCTGGATGGATACGAGCTCTTATAAGCTAGAATTGATTACTTGCTATGAATTTCTATTCGCCGATCAGTGATGTTAAATAGACCGAAGACTGAAATTCTAAGGAATGAGATGAGAGAGTATGGTGGAAATTGAAGTGAGATGATGAGGTGAAAACTTTTTCCAGGGAAATTTTGAGTTTCATTGGTTTTTCATTGACTTTTACTTCTAATGGTAGATAATGTTGATTGGCAGGTAATATTATTGTTTTCCATGAGTCTCTTTGAATTGAACATGAATTGAGCTTTTGCAGATAAAAAGTTCATGATGAAAGGAGATCAAAAGTTGAAAGAGTGGGATATGAAACGAACATTCTCTCTCGCTCTCTCTCTCTCTCTCCTTCTCTTCACATCTCTCTCATTTTTCTTAAAAATCATTTCTCTTCTTTTTCATCATCATCATCACCAGCATCTTCTTCATCCTATTCTGTTTATTTCATTTTTTCTTACACTTGGAAAACTTTGACTTTCCAATTTGTCCCTGGTAACATCAATTTTATTTCTTGTCAAAATTCAAGCTCCTTCATATCTTGTCCAGAAAATGATTTGACCATTACCATTATCATCATGATGACCATAAGAATCATCATCATGATTCATAACAACACCAATAACAAGAACATATAAAAAACGATTTATTAACAGTAATCTCATATGCTACTTGGAATTTAATATTTTCGAAGAAAAAAAAAATTCTCTTGACCCTAAAAACTGCACAAAAGAAAAGGAAAAAGTCACAATAAAAGCTAAACTCAATGTGATAAAAGATTCGGGCCAAAGTTCAGAAATTAAAGTTCGAATTAAAGTTTGAAATGTTCAATCGTAACTCCTTGTCACTAATTACGATCATATGGATTATAAGATCGTTAATGAATCAGATGCATGATAAAACAGTAACAATAATCATGATTAGTCCATGAGAAAAGTTCATACTTATTTTAAAGTAATTTTATCAATAGATATTTTCTCACTTCATGATTTCCACTCCACCCAATTTAGTTCACGATCTTCCCCTGAACCTCAGTGGCAACAATGAACTTATTTCTATTCCTCTATCCATTGGAAAGGGTTGATTAGTTGAATTGAAATTGAATTGCGTGTGAAACAGGAAAGGCGTTCACAGAACCATGAACAATGATTAACATTTACATCGTTACAATTAAGTTCATTGGGGAAAGGAGATAATTCATGATTATTATCATTACCATTTCCGCCTTTTCCTTAGAAGTTAATTTAATCCCAATCAACATTGTAGAGTCAACGTTGATTCAAAAAATAAGCAATTTTTGCCATTTTGATTCAATGGTGAGTCAAAAAAAAATTGATGGCTTTTGAATAAATGTTGAGTCAAAACTTCAAAAATTCTAAATTCAAGATTAACAGTGATTTTTATTGATTAACAATTCCTTATTTTAGAGATACAAAAAATTGGAAACAATCAAGAACTTTTATTCACAAGCCAGTCCATCAAAACAATCATTCCATTCATTTGAAAGTCCATTTTTCTCAAAATTTTCATGCGAATCTGATTTATCAGATTCTGAATCTCGATGTTCTATTCGAATCTTTCGTTTGAATGTTGAATTTCGAGAACATAGTTCTTTAGTAATACGTTCCCTAACTTTGAATTCATCTTGGTTTGTGTATCGAAAAACTCCTGCTTTTCTGAATAGATGATCTGAAATAGTAGAATGTAGTTGTTATTAGAATCTTCAATTCTAGAATGTTGGACAATTTCATTTTTATCATTAGAATTGTAGATTCTCAATATTCAGAATCATAGAAGATTAGCGAATGTTAACAATCTTAGAATCTATATATTAGAATACATTTACGAAGAAGATTCTGTCGTGTAGAATCTCATTCACAACTTACCAATGAAAGATTTGACTCTTTTCTGCCCCAAACTGAAATCAAAATGGCCTCTGAATCGTTGTTCAAAAGGCTCTTTGAATCCCCATATAAAAGAAAGAGGGAACTTGGAAATTGTTGCTTTCTCTTTAGAAAAATTCAAGGAATCTAGTTCTTTTTTGTCTAGATTTTTTTTCCCCAGTGTAACTCCGCGAAAGTAAGTTTCTGGAAAACAGAATTTAATAAACGCATAAGCAAAAGATCCTGGTTTCCCAAGTGTTGCTCTTTTAGAAGCAAATTCATATGAATCCAAATCTAGTTCGATCAACCCTTCTAAGAATATACGATTCTTTCTGGTACATTTGAAAGTTTTATCCGATTCCGGAACGATGTTTGAAAGTTCGATCTCTTTTTTTTTCTTATCTGACAAAATATCATTGATGTGTCGTAAAGAGCTTATAATTGAAATCAAGATCGAGCCTGTTGTATCAAGGTCAGAAAGAACCAGCTTTTTCCGCTCCAGAATATCAATTTCAGTTTGCAAACTGTTCATTAGACTCTTAGAATCTTTTGTTGAATCGTCTGAGCTTGAATTCGATGATAATTTTGGATCAGTTGAGTCGTCAATGTTGGAAAGTCGTTCTCGGAAATCAGATTCTTGGCGTTTCTTCTTCGATTGAATTTTGTCATCACATGAATCAGAAGAAATGATTTTTCTGGTTACAATTGGACCACTATTATCACCATGCTCGAATCTTTTTTCTTTGAAAATCTCCTTTAAAGATTCTTCACCTAGAATCTGTTTCATTGGATTATCGGTGGTTGATTTGAGTGGTTTATGACCAATGAACGTAGCTTTTCCTTCTAGTCGTTTAATTTTCATTAAGCATTTCCAACTCGGTTCAATTAACTTGTTTCTATCGAAAACTTCTTTAACAATATACGGAGATTCTGAAAAATAGAATAAAAAATCTTGTTAGCCTACCAAAAGCGATTCAAATTGTTTTGAATTGAATTTACCTCCACAAGCGATCAATTGAGCTTGAAAACGTATTCCAGAAATTTCAATTATATGAAAATTATTCTCATAGTTGAAATATTCGTCGAATGGTAATTTGATTCCTGAATCTGAAAGTTGAGATGATCTGAATTTTATCAAAACGGGTTGTTGTATCGCGCTATAGCTGCTGTCTAGTATTTGAGGCAAGAAAACACCAAAAATATGGTCACTATTCACGATTCTTCTTGTTGATTTCCCACTTGTTGGAAACATTGGATCACTTTCAACAACATTGGAATCAAGATTATCATTCAGTTTTTCAATGGTGGTTGTTAACTTTGGTAGAGGTTGAGATTGCGATGTACTTGCATTTTTGTTAACATCAGAGTTAACAACACTTTTTTGGATCACTTTTTCACTTGTAGAAATGGATTTCACTGGTTGGGATAATGATGACAAGTTATCGAAAGCACAGAAAGGTTTTTTACGAGATACTCTTTTGTTAGAAAAACTTTCAGACATTTTAGACTTATACTTTGTTAAAAGCTTTGTCACTTAATCGTTGACCCGAAATTAGATTAAATGTCAAATTCACTTTAAAATGAACACCTTTTATTGAGATTATTGAGAGCAACGAAAAATAATTGATTTTCAAATTCAATGAGATTGATCAATATTCTTGATCATAATTGGCTCTTGGAAAGTTGAAAAAACGGTTACATATTGTGACGTAAATGAAATTTGTTTTGAAAAAATTTGATTTGCTATTTGATTTCAGTGAAGGTAATTGGAATTCTATTGGTTGATTGAGATATGTAATTTGAACTTTAGTATAACCTAAGTAACTGAAGGTTGAAATAATAATTTGTAATTGAAAATACCTGTAGCTCACTTTTTGGAAAGGAATCCCAATACAGCTGCTCGTTGTTCATCAGTAAGAACAGAAAGATCCAAAATTCTTTGAGGTTCTTTCAACTCTGAACTTGAAGGAATAGTTCCAATGAACTTATTAGTTCTCTGATCAGTTTTTCCACCGTTTCCTCCTCCACTCTGTTGATCATCATTATGCATTGATTTGCTTACTGAAGATACTTTGCTTGAATTAGAATCTGAACTGTAAGATTCTGGAATCGGTGATTCATGTTGACCAGAAGCTTCAACAATGTCCTTTGCCTTGTCTTTGATCTTCTCCAATGTAATCATAGTGTCATTTGTCTTGTCACTTTCGTCTGCCGAAATGGTGTCATCATGATCTGATTTCTTCTTTTTGTAGACACTCGATGATGCTGAATCAAAAGTAGTTGATCTTTTCATTCGATTTCTATCTTCAGAATCTGAATTTGAAGCCATTGAAGTTTCGAGAGTTCCAGTTCCCGATTCGTCTTTGCTTTTTTCATCATTATAATGCGTTGGAGTAGATGTAGAATATGGCTGGGTCAATGGAATAGCGGTAGAAAAGTTAACTGGTTCTGAAATATTTTCTTGAGATCCCGAAAATGGATTCATAGGTGAGCTGGAATCTCTAATATCTTTCAGAGATGCCTGTTCGAGTGCCTGAATATTTTTCCTGGATATATTATCATCAGTTTTCTCAGCTTGAATTTGATCGTTCTTATCATCCATGGAGTCAAAGGCTGATCGTTTTTTCAAAGGCACAGCGGACGCAGATTCTGATTCAGATTCAACTTCCTCTGCCTCTTCGTCTTTAGATTCATCGTCATCATCAGAATCCTCGGTACTAGAATCATCAGCCAAAGAATTCCAATCAACTGATTCCTTCTTCTCGAGCTTTGTTCGAGCGTAGTGCATCGCTTTACTCATAGTTCCGATCAATGAACGTTCAACAAAACCATTATAAGAGAATTTTCCACACTGACGCATGATATGATCTGATATGAAAAAAATTATCTATCAATGATGATTCTTGGTACAAGTAAAAGCAATCAATCAACTTACCAATGAATGAAACGAGTCGACTCGATCCCAATCCTGTGATAATATCTCCTTGTGGTGGTAAGCTTAGAGGATCTTCATAATTCCAAATGGAAATCAATGATTGTCGTCCTCTCTGCCCTTTCATTGTGACATCAAGAATCCAGTGAGATGGAAAGCAGTATTTCACTAGATTCGTAAGAACTGTAGTAGGCTCTCTTTGTTCAATTTTTTTCGGGAATGATTTTAACATTTTTCTGTACTTTTTTGTTAGAACCGGAAGATTACCTTCTAACATAGTTATCGTTCCTTCTGATACAGTTTCATCAACTGGAATCTGTCTTGTTTGATTTGTAGGCAATGGTGAATGATGTTCACTTTTGATAATCTGTAATCTATTATTCTCAAATGTCTCTTTGACATTTTCCTGATGCTTTACAATTGTTTCCAAAACATTTGAAACTTGATCGAATTGATCAAGCACATCGGAAGCCGAAAGCGAATCACCAAGTTGTCGAAGAGCCTGCAAGTTATCCTTGAAAGTAATCAAAGCATTTTCCATATTGAATTCTTGCGATTGGTTTAATTCACCCTCTTCCTGTTTAATTTTAACTGGTCTGAAACTTGATCTAGTGTTTTGTGATGGACCACTCTCATTTTCCAGATCAATTGTCGGAATATTTTTCTGATCATGAATCCTCTTTTCACGTCGCTTGATAAAATCTAATTTTTTCCAAAAATTATCAAAGTCAACTTGCTTTAAAACTTTCAATGATGAAGCACTGATAGATTCAATACCAACAGATTCAATGTCAATCCATTTATCGATTTTGGAAGGTGGTTTAGGTATCGAAAGACCTTGAACATTTTCACAGAATTTCTTGTACGAAGAATCGATTTCCTTAGAATCATCTTTCAAAAAAATGAAATGAGAAAATTAGCAAAAATCTAACTAGAATTGAAATTTTACTTACTTCCGACTGAAACGATCATCGCAGGTATTGGCTTTGTATTTTCAACGTTGATGTGAATAAGATTCTTCACGTGCATTCGCGATTGTTTCAAGCCATTAGGAATTTTATCAGAATCCAATTTAAAACCGATTGGAACACATTTTTCAATGTTGTTTTTTCCTTTTACTCGTAAGATCACCACAACAACCTTTTGGTTTTCCATTAGGTTTAAAATACAACTAATAAGCGTTTGTTGGTTGACAAGAAATTTTTTCTTAAGATTTTTTTTTGTTGATTTCACACTTTTCCGATTGGAAACTTTCATAAAACTGGTCACAGATCGAAATTCTGATCTTATTGTATGTCGATTTAAAACAAATATTAAAGAAAATCAATAAAACAACTGAAATTTTTGATAAAAAAATGAAAGAATTAAAATTTTGTTTACTTCCGATCGAGATAAAAAATTTAAAGATCTTCCTCAACGCTCATTGGTCTTTCTACTGATTAGATTAACGTTTCCATGGAAACAAAAAAGAATAGAACAAAAGGGTAAATAGAACAATTAGAATAGAATAGAACATGTGTTTATTCTATTCTATTTAAAGTTTGTTCTTTTCATCTAAATATTAATCTATTTACTTTTTTAATTAATTTTTTGTTAATTAAACTTGACTTCTTTGTTTTAGTTGATTTTTGATACTTTTTCTGTTCGAAAATTTTCTAATTTGTGAAAGTGAAAAAAGTGTTAGCTCAATGGAGCAAAAAAGTGCTTCTTCAGTTAGAACTGATTACCGGCGAGTCAAGCGGTTTCGCTCATTTCAACAAGCTGATTACATCGAAAATCTACCTGAAAGTGAATTTATATCTAGAGATTCTCTCGATAGCGATTCGATTGATTCAATTCAATCAGATTCTAATCCAAGGGAATTCTCTGATAGTGAATCAGAAATTTTCACCGCTGAAAATCAGAGTCTCGATGAAAAGTCACCAAGCCTTAAAGAGTATGGCCAAGCTGTTATGTCTGCTTTGTTATCTGAAGTAGGTTTGAATCTCACCGAGGCAGAGTCTACGGTTAACTTATTCAATAACATGAATAAAAGGTTCTCGAAAGATCCAATTATTTTACCATCAATAAGATACTTTCATGATAAAAGATCTAAAAAGAATCCCGTTGATTGTTACATTATTTGTCCTGAAGGACACAACCATGGACCTTTCTCCGGAGAACCAAAAAGTTTTGGTGGATTCAACTGCAATGGAAAAGAGTGTCCAGCTAAATTAGAGCAAGAAAAATACTTTCTCCATATCAGCTTTCGCAGACAATTGGAAACTCACCTTTCAACAATTTCAATCATGGATCTTGACAATGGAAATTTAGAATCTTCGATTACAGATATACATCAAGCCGCTCAAGCAACAAAGATAAAAAGTAATTGTTCTTCTGGTGTGGAAAAACTAACTCTTTCTCTTCATTCTGATGAAGTACAAGTTGGTGTTAGTTCATCGCTGAAAATTTTTCCATTGTTCATTTCTATCAATGAGTTACAACCAATATTCAGAAAATCTCACTTTTTTTTAGTATCTTTATATGTTGGCAGAACTAAACCTAGTGTGAATAACTTTCTTTCTCCAATCTGTAACGAGTTAAAAGATCTTGAATGTAATCCATTATTCTGGACAGACAAAAATTCGTTGGCTCGCAAATCAACTTTCCATGTGATTGGTCTGATCGCTGATGCTCCAATGAGAGCCTATTTAAGAAGTGTAAGACAATATAATCATCTCAACGGATGCGATTGGTGTTTGGTTCAGGCAACATCATCAAATGGAGCAAGAGTTTTTCCAAACTCTCAGAATCAAAATTCACTCAACAGAACAAAAAGTGATTTCATAAGATTCAAACAACATATTGAAATCTCGAATAATGTTTCTATTCCTGGTGAATCTTCGTTTCCTAGATTCAAAGGCTTGGTTGGGATATCACCGCTACTCGAATTGGATTCTTTCGATATTGTAAACGGTGTTAGTGTGGAACCTATGCATTGCATAGCCCTTGGTATACTCAGATCTTTGATTCTACGTGGTTGGTTAGGCCAAGATAATCTTAATCTATTCGAACGGAATATTGACAAAAGTTCTTTCAAGAAATGTTTATCAGAAAGATTGAAAACGATTTCTGTCCCATCGGAATTTGGAAGAGCACCAAGAGATTTGGATCATATCAAATATTGGAAAAGTGCTGAATTTGATAGTTTTCTCGTCTATTATTTCATTCCAGCAACCAAGGGTTTATTGAAACCAAAAATTATCAATCATGTTATCTGTTTAGTGAGGATCTATTACTTGTCAAATCGTGGGCCGATTGAAGATTCAACCATTTCGGAATTGAGAAAATTGATTCACGAATTCCAACAAGGAATATCAATTTACTATGGATCATCTTTCCAGACTTACAATCTACACATTCTATCACACCTTCCGGATTCTTTGCTCAATCTTGGTCCGAATGGCAATTTTTCTTCATATGCTTTGGAAAATTACATGGGTGTGCTCAAAGAAAAAGTGAGAAGAACCTCTAATATTGCTCCATCTTTAGTTAGAACATTTATCAATGATTTCAAATACTTTGAAACACTAGAGGTTGAAATTTCCCGTTGGAATTTGACTGAAAATGAAAAGAAAACGTTTGGACTGTTTTCCAAGTATCACAGCTATTCCAAAAAGGACATAATTCTTAAAGACGACACTTCTTTCAATCAAGAAAAGTGGTTAAGGGTTGTGAAAGAAGAGATCGATGCGAATCTCACAATCAATGATCTTTTTTTCATTAAGACAATGTTTTCTAATGGTACTCGATTCTCAACTAAAAGATACTGTGTTGAAAAGAAAAGAGATGATTCAATCATTAAGTCAACGTCTTCCGAATTCTATCAGATCAAACAAATTGTTCGCATCAAAGGAAAAATCTTCTTTCTCTGTCGCCAATTCACTGCATCAGGAATCAAAATTCCATTAACTGGAATCACTGGAAAACTAATGATTAATATTGATCATATTTTCGAGACGAGTCACATCAAAGATTCAAAAATTAAGGTGTTAGAGTTTCACTCTGGACTGAAAAAAAGCTTCTTGATAAGAAGTTCCAATTTTAGCTTTAAATACGCTAAAAATTTCTTGGTAGAACCATTTTTGATCAACTTCTAATTCTGGTCACAGAATCTTTTTTCAGTGTTTATTGTGATTCTTTTCATCGATTATTTCTCCTCAAATACGATTATTTTTATCAATTTATGTGTCAATAGTACCTCAAGAACAAGAATTAATGAGATTTGTGAACGAAAATCATCATTTTAAATTGAATTAATTGAAAAGTGAAATTTTCTATTTATATTGCGTGGAAAAAGCTATCAACATCAACAGATTCTAGTGAACTCTTTTTTGCCAATTAATTTGTGATTATTTCAGTGTGAATTTTGTTTTCAATTAGTAATCAAATTATTATATTCAACAATCAACCTTCAACAATTAAAGTTTTCAACGAATCAGAATCAGCAGTTAAAAACAATTAGTAATAAATCAATCAAAATGGTGAAAAGTAAGTAGGCTTTTGTTTAGAATATTTTTAGCTTTTCTTTGAATCTCTCACTAATTCAGATTTAAATTTTTCTATTTTAGTATCAATCAAGATGAATATTTGTACCAGAAAAAATGTTCTTAGGTGTTTAATCAAAAGTAAATATCAAGTTTCGAAGACTAAAGATAAAGACATTCTCATGAAGAATCATGTAATCTGGTTTATTTCATTTTCTAAAAAAAAGCTAATTTCGGAAAAGGTTGAATATATGGATTATACTCAAGAAATCGAAGACATGGAAACTGATTGAGAAGATTCCAAAGACCAAGAAAGTTGATTCAAACCAAAGATTCTCGTCCTGCCAAGATTCAAATGCCAAATAATTGATTCCCCAAATTTGTTAATCATATTTTGTTACCTTTGACATTTCAAATGTTTTATATTTATTCAATTTCCCGCTCAGAATTCAAAGCTTTTAAAATCCAGATTATTCATTTTCCACATAGCAAAATTTTCCAAGATTCAAGAATCAAACTTTCTAATTTTCTATATCTATGAAAAATTTATCAGTTCAAAATTTGTTGATCTCATACTTGTTCAGAGTCTTATTATATTTACAAAAATTAGAATCAATTTTTATATCAATTTTCAAACTGTTTTGAATTTACAAATTTCTAAAAAAATTAATATCTTGATGTTTATACGTTTTCAATAAACTCACAGTTATCAAATCTGATTGTCGTTTTCTACATTTATTGATTCATTGAATCTTAAGTTGGTTAACAATTTTCAAGAAATTTATATGTATTTTGACTAATGACTAAAAATGCTGTTGAAAAGGTTTTGAAGACAATTATGATTCATCTATGAATCAATTGTTATCATTTAATCATGAGAGGAGGAAAAATTATCACCAAGATGATCATCATGAGACTGTAATATTCATGAATAAGTTACTCTATTTACAATGTTGATCCAATTCTGTTGATTAGCTTGTAGTTGTAATATAACTTGTTATCATCTGTTAATGAAGATGAAGAAAAAAATGTTCTCAAAAGAAGAGAAATAGACATGGAAGAAGATGATGGTGAAGATAAATTCTTATTGATATTGATATGAAAAGTGAGTGAGAGAGTAAAACTGAATTCCAGTCACTAGAACTTCATCAATCTTGATTATGCCATTTTAGCTCTTCCATCTTGTTGTCTTTTACGTCATACTCACCATGAGGCATCGTTTCATCATCTTCTTGTATCATCCTTTCATCATCATCATCATCAGCATTTCTCTCTCTCTCCCTCTGAATCCAAAACTCTCCCAATTCCCAATTCCTACGAAGCCCGGATTATTTTCTACCTTGACTTCTGGAAACAAGATGAATATGAAGCTCATGGAATGAAAAACAGCAGACAGAAAGTAAAATAATCTCAACGTTGAGAGAAACCCCAAAGCCACCGAGATAATGACGAATATAATAATCACTTTAATCCACTATTTCAACTAATCCAATTTCACCATGAGTTCATCATTCATGATAATCATACTCCAGAAGAAGCAAAAATTCACTAAAAACCATAACTGAGTAATTGTTTACCTCTCACCAAGAATATTTCATGAAATGCAATAAATATTCATGAGAGAAAAAAACCTTTCATGATAAACTAAGAATTCAACAGAAATTGAGATAATTAGAACAGTTCCAATAATCAGTCTCCAATTGAGAAACATTTACCTTCATGATATTGATTTTTAAATCTCGATAATAATGTGAAGATGATGAAATAAACACATACTTAATACATATCCAGGTAAATATAAATCTCCATGATAACGACTACAGAATTGTAATCAAACTTAAATTGATAAATTTTCCTGATAATAGTCAACAGGTTGATATCAATAAATATATTTGAAACTTTGAGAGTTCCTTCAACTTGTAACCATCAAGATTTCATGGATGTATGAAATGAATTTGTCCCTTTTCATGGTAATATAAAAGGTTTAGTTCAAGTGAGTGATGATGATGAAAGAGATGATGATGATGCTGATCACTTTAATATTGGAATAAAAAAGAAAAGCAAAATTTAAAGATAAACAAGATGATAAACTATCATAAGAATGATGATGACGATGATTTTCAATGAGATAAATCAATTGAAGATTGGATTATATTAAACTTGGAATGTGTTAAAAGTCAATTCAACTAAATTGGCTTCATTCAAGTTTAATTGAACAATCTGTTCAGGTTGAATTTGTCAATCAAATTTTAAACGATACCTGATGAAAGTGTATGAAAAAACCTCCACCCCGCCGCCATTTCAGTCAGACTCTTATGTAAACCAGGGTTTGAATACCAATTGAGTTATATAAACAGGGATTTTTTTTCCTCATGCTCATCCTGAATTCAAGATCTGTATTGTTGGGAGCAGTTAGAAAATTAAATGATAAGATAACAGAGTGAAAGGGAAGAAGAAGATGAAAAGGTGAGACTGGAAGAGAGAGAAAAAATTAACCCTGAAAGAAAATGCTTTTGGTGGAAAGGGAAGAAAAAAAAATAAACAGAATTCTCGGTTATTATTTTCTACAGAACTTCTGAAAGACGTCGACAGAGGAACAGAGAGAGAGAGAGAGAGAGAGAGAGAGAGAGAGAGAGAGAGAGAGATAAGGTGGGTTGAGGTATTCAGAGGAAGAATAGTGTATGTGTGTGTCTCTCAGAGACTGAAGAAGCTACAAGAGAGAGAGAGAGAGAGAGAGAGAGAGAGAGAGAGAGAATTGGGTGAGTGGGGAAAGGGGAGCGTGTGGAAAATCAATAATCTAATCAGAATAGTTTGAGAAGGAAAATGCTTTCAGAATATTAACTAGGAAAAAGAATGTTTTTTTCTCTTCTTTCTTTTCTTTACCAACGAATATTTCTCTTCACCTTCATCAGCATGAAGATAAAGATAAAGATGAAGATGATAATGGGAACAATGAAACAACATTGAACAATATCAGAACTTTGATCGAAGTGGGAAAACAAAATTTGTTACCGTTATTTGTTGTCTCTCTCTCTCTCATTCATCATAAATAAACATCATGATAATGATTATGATATTGATTTTTGTGATAACATTGTAATTGAGTGATGAAAAAATATATGATAACGATTAAATTGTTTACTATTTACTGAAACAATCAACTGATTGACCTCAATTAACGATATCTTATCTGTGGTTTGATGAATTGTTGTAATATCAGAATTGAAAAAAAAGTAAATGTTTACCTTGAATTGAGATCGATATTGTTACCAAATCAAGTTAAATGATTAATAGATTGATTTGATTGTTGCAATGATTACATTAATTATACTTGACTGTTTGACTTATCAAATGATTGATTAACAATTGATTATGATAATATGATAGTTAACCCATGGAATCGTTGATACAACTAAAGTTAATCTTTGTGCTTTGTTTTTCACCTAATTGTTGTTAAATAATCATGATTGAAGCTGATCTGATCATGTAAATGATATTCATTCATGTTTTTGTTCATGGCAATTTCATGGTGATGGTGGTTATTCATTCAACATTCACTATGAATATAAGTTTTCATGGGAGAGTAGAAAACATTTCATTACAATTAAATTCTCAATGGGAATCATGTTTTATCCCCTCAGAAATCATCATGAAATGATGATGATATTTTCATGTGTTCATCATGAAGTTTCAACAACATGAGCTGAAAGAAAAAGAAATACACCAAACAATTGAAAAGATTAAAGAGAAAAATGTTTATCTGAAGATTGAGTCATGGAATTAAAGTTCAAATTCAGTTACCTGAGATATGTTTTTCTCATCATCATGTTGCTGTTTACTATTTAATATCAATGAAAGTGAAGGTTTAAATAGAAAGGTAAACATGATATTCAAGCTGAACCACCGGTGGTTTCTGTAGGTTGCGATTATCAGAGTTAAAGATATGAAATAATGAGCGAATAAAATTCAAATGAGACTGAAAAAATCAGCTCCAGGGTAAATATATTAACATGGTGTGGACGATTAAGTAGTATGAAAATATGGAGGTAAAATTTTTCCACCGGTGGTAATATTTTCTTACAGCTTCTATTCGTTATATTATCATAATATTTAACCGCATCATCTTCAGGATGAATACATTGTTAACTTTTTTATTCTGTAAGAGAAAGTTAATATTTTTGGTGAGAACAACTTTTTACTCTCTCCATGATAACTATTCAGGAAACTGAGAGAGAGAGAGAGAGAGAGAGAGAGAGAGAGAGAGAGAGAAATTCAAGTTCAGAGTTCGAAATAATAATAGATAATAGTCATGTTTAATTCTGTGATGAGCTTAAATTGTTAACTGATTAGAGAATCCAAGTTAATCAGATTAGTTTCTGTTAATAAGATTTCAAGTTTTTCTTGTTTATATTTTTTTTATATTTCACTTTGTTTCTCTATTTTTACTCGTTATAAGCCAAACTGAAACTCATGAATCTGAATATTCCCAGAATTTATCATGTGATAATGCTCAGAACTTTTCTCGTTTCCTGTAGTTATAAATCTTATCATTAGGTCAATCTGTTATTCAATGGATCGTGATGATAGTCTTGAGCTTCTCATTCATTTAGATTCAGTTATCTGGTGGATTCCATTGACTGACCACATGAGACTTTAAATTTACATGGTATTGAAAACGAAAATCTTTCAACATTTGAAAATTGATCATGTTTTCTGAACCAGAATTTATCCTGAAAATAAAAAGGTCTCTCAATGATTTCTTATTGGTCATGAGCTCAATGAAAGATTCATTTTTATTTCAAATCTCATATTCAATCTGTGAATGAATCATGAAAATCTCCATGAATAAAGTCACCGTTATCTTGATCAATTGGTTATAAATCAGTAATCATGCTGGTTCAAGGTATACATAAGATTGTAATATACCAATTGTTTTATCTGAAGTATGAATTATTGAATCATTTTAATATTTTCATAAAACTTCAGAACCGAGGGGCTGGAAAGAGTGAATAGATTTTTGAATGAAAATAAACATTATCATTACTATTGTCATCATGATGATGAAGACAATGAACAAGATATCAAAAAATAGGTTTCATTGTTGAATTGAAAACCAGAAAATACATACTAGTAGTTTCCAT